AATTTACATACACATGATAAAATATAAACATCATATCAAATGATAGCCAAATAAACACACACTTATTTGATTTTCCTAAAATGTTTTTAGAAACATCTTGGGAATTGCGTTTAATGTTTTGTCAACTATATATTCTTTTATTCAAATAGATATATTCTGAGAAGTGATGTGTGATTTTACATAGGGCTGGGCGATTTGGCCTAAAATCTAAATCTCGATTATTTGAACATTTTAACTCTATTTAACTCTATTTATCTTGAATAATAAACTATTCTTTTCTTTCTTTCTTTTATTTGTTTGCCCTCATAGTTCACTGACTGGTTTTGTACAATTATGATTGCATATTACAAGTGAGAGCTTTTTAAATGAAGGCTGCATTACTTGATTTTAAAATAAATGAAGGAAACACACTATCTACTATTTATGATTATTTATTGAACGTCAGCGTTGAACAACTGAAATTAAAACACACATTGCCTAAAAAGAGCAGTCAAAACAGAATAGGGAAAAGTAATTGAAAAAATTGACCTGGAAAAATTAGATCAATTATAGGTTCTGAATGTCGATTTAGATCACTTTTCGATTAATTGCTCAGCCCTTAATTTTAAGTAAACTAAATTATACAGAGGGTTCGTTATGTTACATTTAAATATTCAATGTTTTATTTTATAATACACAAATTACTATTTATTTCCCAGTGTTGGGTTGCAGCTGGAAGGGCATCGGCTGTGTAAAACATAGGCTGGATAAGTTGTCGGTTCATTCCTCTGTGGCGACCCCTGATTAATAAAGGAACTAAACTGAAAAGAAAATAAATGAATGATGAAATTACAATTTATTAAAATTTGAAATGAAATAAAGTAAAAGTTAGCAACATCTTTTTATCCTTAACTGTTTACCCACTTGTTTTGATCAAAAAAACATCATATAATTTAATGAGAAAGTGATATATGATATGTAATGACATATGACAAAAAAATGACAATACAAATTTTAATTACTTACACTAATTTATAATTCATGCATAGACAGGTAATTTATGCATATAAAAACTTGTTTTATTATAGTTTATGAATGGTATATTTAGTGATTTATGCCATCCATAATTTAAAAATATTGATTATATACTATTTACCAGTGTTTTTTAACTACATTCCTGAGGCCCACCAGCACTGCATGTTTTAAGTGTCTCATTTGTCTGTCACACCCATTACAGGTCTTTCAGTCTCTGCTAGTGTGCTGATAATCTGAATCAGGGGTGTTTGGTTTAGGAGACATAGAAAATGTGCAGAGCTGATGATCCTCCAGGAACGTGGTTGAGAAGCACTGCTATATACTCTATTAAAATATATACCATACTAAAATATTTATTAAATATATATATATATATATATATATATATATATATATATATATATATTAAAATATATGTAAAAATATTTTACTAAATATTTACTAGCAAATAAACAATACTAGAAAGTTTACTTCCATATGTTATTTATTAATTATTTAAATAATTACTTTAAATAAAATAAAACAAAAAATAAAACAAAGTTTATGGTCTTTTTTAATGCCAGCAGTAAAACCTCTAAAGTTGATCATTTACTTTCTGCAATTATTTTCCAATATGGACCAACAGCATTCATTGTCAAAATCTGTCTATTTGTGATAACATTTTCCTGTCTGGCCTTGCTGTCTTTTGCCTCTATATGACACACATACGGTCTCTTTCATCCTTCCTGCCTGTGTGTCAATATTTCAGGAAATGAATTTTCGCCTTGACATTCGACAATGATCCTTAGGCACTCTTCGTTCATGATTCTCTCCATGATTTCTTCCCTGCTTTGGAACCCAGATTAGATTTGTTTGTCATCATCCATCACTCATTTCCATTGTCTTTATGCATAATATCCATTATCCTGTGTGTATCAACGTGGCTTAATCTAATTCATCGCACAAATGAAAAACAAAAAAAAACAAAAAAACATTTTCACCACTGAACAGAAATAAATCAATTACCAACAGCTCATCTTACATACCCACTTCTACAGGCGTCCCGCAAAGCAAGAAAACGTTCTCTTTCAGAGGATAAATGTGGAAATATTGATTGTGTTGGAAGAAATATTCCTCAAGTTATGATCAGACATTTCCATAATGCTCAGTCCTCCGAGAGAACCATCTCAGAAGGAAGAAGTCTCAGCGGGGATCTTATAACACAAGCTCTCTGATAAAAGACATTTGTGCCCTTTCCTCCAATTCTACTCTATCAGCATTATTACCACTTGTATTCGCTCATATGCCAGTTGTACATGAAACGCTGTAAGGCATACGCAAAACACTCATTCTTGCGGCTCCATGGGAAAAGACAACTGCACGGTTCGAAGTAGATTTGACTGATGAAGTGATGTCCAGTTGAGAAAGCCAGATGCGCTGTCCGGAAACAAACTGCGCAGTGTCCGCTTGGTCACTTTCTTGCTGTTTTGTAGAGTAAGAAGATTTTTTTTGGATCGTTTCATTAAAGAGAAGTAAATTGTAAATAAAATATAATACAATGACAGAGAAGTTATCAATCAGTTTCTTTGAATGATATGAGGGTCAATGACGAATCGGAGTTGAATACAAATTAATTAAAATGAATAAAATTTTGTTAATTTAATTAGCTGATAAAATCATTTTATTTACATTTATTTTAATAAAATAATTACGTTTGCTTGTTTTCATACATTATATTCAACCCAGTCTTATTCTGGGTTATTCTGAGCAAACGTAACGCTATATACATTTTTGGAGAGCCCCAAATACATCCCAGGAGCTATGTTTTTTTTTTGCAGTTTTTGTTTTCAAGAATCCACCAGAGGCTGCTGTGTATGCTTTCTAGGATGTCAAATTTCTTTTGCGAGTGCCATTCGCGTGTGTTGTTCTCACATAAATCCACCAGCGTCTGCTGTCGACTGAGTGAATGGCTGATTGACTGACCGATCGACTGACCCACCCTCCTCTTTCCATAAACCCAACTAATAGTGTTTTCAAAAGCACCGATTGACCTGAACACCCACTTCCCTAAACCCAAACGACAGTTTTAATAAGCAATCTAGAAAAAGAAAAGCCCTCGTTTTTACCACATTTCAGATTTTACAACATTCTCACCCTGTTATTTACTTTTTTTTGGCTTCTGTTTTTGTCTCATCTTCTTTCAGGAACTGCTCTTCACCTCTCTGAGTCTCAAATCCATCAGCGTACATAGTGAGCTAACTGGACAATCTGGTAACAGCGGGAAAGCCATCCATATGGAGGTAAGCGGTCAGCTGGAAAGCGCAAAAAGTAACGGTGTCATATCGCCCTGTTGCGTTCATTTAAAGACGAAATGCAGCCAAACATACTGCTGGCTACATAATTCACGATCTCCAGAAATGTATATAGGGCTACATTTTCAGAATGAGCCTATGTTGGTCATAATGCGCCTGGTTTACATTTTTTAAAGCCAACTAAATTAACAAACTTAAAAGGATTATCATACATTTTACTGTTATTTACAGTAGACACCCACCAAGTGACTTTCAATTTAATAATGTAACACAAATGGAAAAAGACTAATTAATTGCCCTTTTTTTGCTAGACATTTATCAATTAAAAATTTTTAGTATGGTCACTAGATCTGAAACATTAAATTTACTTGCATTTAATATGCTTTGTAATCACTTTTCTTCATTTAATTAGAAAAAATAACAATATACCTGTGTTTTTTCTGATATACTTTTAAACTAATGTGCACTTTAAAAAGTCATAAACTGTCATTGTTGCAGCATCTTGAAAAGCAATCTCTTTAGTCCTTAATTCAGTTTTAATTCAAATATGTCAGCCATTTATGGACAAATAAGTTTAAGTTTTGATATAGTTCAAAATGTATGTTTTGACCCAAATTTTGGGTGCGACGACTTTTAGGGTGCATAGATAAATGGTGTAGTATAATATTAACTTTATACCAATATTAAATAAGTTTTATTGTTACTGTTTTAAATCTGGCATTACAGTAATGTGTGAATTAGGATGGACCATAAAAATAGGTGCTTCTGATTTCGTACACTACTAGCCTTGTGAACATTCTGCCCAAGCACCACAACATGTGATACGGCTCAATACATTCTCTCCTTAAAAGTGCAATTGGACAGCAATTTTGCCTGAGGTCTGTAAAAACAAGTCGCCAACATCTAGAGATCTTCACAAGGTTGTTTGTGGTTAATATTTTATTAGATAAATGTCCGGCCCAAAGAGGAAGTTCAATGGCGAAAATAAATAGCACGGAATATTGAGTGCAATGGCAGTACTTTTAAAATGAGTATTCTCAAATGGGTTATATTTCTTGTTCTACTGAATACCCCTTTTATCTATCTTTTTTTAATACCTGAAGGAGACAAAGACTCCAATTTCCTAGCCGAGACGACTGGGATTGGAGACGCATATCAAAGGGTAGTTGATGTGTAGGTGGCTTAACCCCGGCCTTTTTAAGTCAGACCCAGACTGATGATGAGAAAGTACAACATTTCAGGCGGCATCAGATGTTAAACCTCTAAACTACACATGACCTTTTGCTGTTTGTGATGGAAACCCCTGCAACTGACAATGGAGAATTCATTTCACCTGCAAGGCTCAACCTTGAGGGGTGTCAGGCTGTGATTGGCTATTGATAACATCATTTGCCACATGATAGAAATCTAAAGAGTCCTCGACTATGATACTGAACGAAATGGACAAAATCGATCTCCAAAGGATTAACCTGTTTGAGCGCATGGTAAAAAGGGAGGGAGGCGTAAAAAAATGAAAAGCCTTTTTTCTACTCACTTTTCGCACAGTACAGCCGCTCACTTCAACACTTGTGAGCTATGACATCAGTTAGCGTGGATACTTGAAAGATCGCGCGCGCGCGGGGCGGGGGTGCAGCCGACGCACGTGCGCGGAATAAGCAAGGCAAGTTCACAATTCTCTTGTCAAATCGATCGCAGCTCGGGAGGAGTGTGCGAGGCGCAGTTATCATCGCAGACTTCCCCATCACTCACAGTCCCAGCGGTTCCGCAGGAAGACAGCTGTTAATAACCCAACAAGCATGTCTGGAACATTATAAGGTCATTAGTCTACTAACCTCCATATGGATTTACACACTTCTGTTTCTGCGATTCGGCGCTTGCGCTTTTTCTTTTCTTTTTTTGTGACGAGATTCACAAAATATTGGGCGAATTCGGTTTATGAACTCTGCGTTTCTCTCTGCGTGTGATGGACAGGCGGCTATTCAGCTCGAGCTGGGCTGGAGAGAGTAGAAAGTAAGCTCGTTTAAAACAAACATCTGTCTTCAGGACTCCTGCTACATCCCGAAGCGAAGGAGAATGCTTTCGCTTTCATAAACGGAGGTAAACTGCTTCTCATTTTGTCTTTTGCTTCGCTCTTAAGCTTAAACAGTGACATTGATTGCACATTGATATTGGCTGGGTTTCCAGAAGCGGTAAGTAGAGCATTAGTCGCACGTACAGAGTACGCGTTCTCCAGAAGCACCGTTATCTGTATAGCGCGCAAAAACATTCGCAAATTAACTATCTGTGCTTTTAACTTTTATCCAATCAATCAATATTTTTCTTTTGTTTTCTTTATTTTTACAATTAGATGGACCTTTATTAATGAACTCGAAGGCTTTTTTGTTATCTGCACTTACTGTGTAGAGAAAAAATTGCTTTTACAAAGATACCTCGCATTTTACGCATGGCACCCACGTGACAATCTGATATTTACATGATAGACATAGCATAACTTTATTTAACCCCACTTAAATCGCTTAATTGCAGTTCATATAGGTTTTTATAAACAACATGATTTTTGTTCTTAGATAAATAATCAAATAAATACTAAATGATTTGAGTGACAGCGTGCTAAGTGAGCACCTCCCACACTTTCTTCCTCCCTCCTCCTCCTCCTCCTCTTCGTCTTCCAGTGACAGGTTCACATATTGCATGTTACATGGTGCCAGAGAATGTGCTTAGAACTCTAATCAGATGATTTATGAATTCGACATATGTAATGCTGTTCACACTAACTTGGCTAAGTGAGAGCGACCGGGACTTTTTCTAGGTAGTGCTTCGCAAAGCGCGCGCTATCATTTATTGTTCAAAATATTGATAACATTCACCGCACTGACAATACAACGTGAGCATTTTATTTGGGCAGTATTTATTTGAAGAGACAAACCCCTTGACCTATTGTAGCTACATAACAGGCTAAGTTTAGGCTTTTTTAATAGGCTTTTTTCAGCATCTTTGGAGCTTTGCTTCGCGTAATGACGCACTGTTACACTACTTCGTTATTATTTCTAGATGAACATAGGTGTCAGTAAGCACTGGGTCATGAAGTACTCTTGAACTAATAAAACATAATTTACAAGTGCGCATTTTGGCATCAAGAAGTCGCGTTCATCAAAGAATGTAACCATAACAACAGGATATGATCATGCGCTTTCCTTTTTTTCTGAGTTATGTGTTTTATCCCTCTCTAAACAATCACGAAGTCTTAAGTAAAGATTTGCATAGCACCAATAAACTTTAAATAACCTTATAGATGGCGTTTATAGCTAACCTCGCAGACCAAGTTGCTCTGCGCGAGACGGACTTTGACAGATTGCGTCCCCAAAATGAGCTACCTTTGGAATAATTAATATTTAGAATAAACAAATAATCTTAACCAATTGCCCCACCTTAAAGCATCATTTTCGCACCTTTTCACGTGCGAGACTAAATAAGCGGCCAGTCTTATTTTGTGAGCTGCTTAAAACATTTCAAAACAAGATTGACACGCGATTCGCTGATCAAGCGCTTGAACGCGAGAGGAACAGAGCAGTGCGGCTCAAGCGCGGCGTACTGACAGCACCAGCATCCTCACATCATGTAGTAACAGCTCTTCATCTTCATCTCCACCCCTTTCCCCATTCCCTGCCGTTTGTTCTGCCCAATAAGTATTGAGAGGGAGTAATTATTTCCCCTTTGTTTCGCGTCCTCCGCGGCGCGCTGCAGAGACACTCGTGTCATTAGTTCAAGCGAGGTTGGCGAGAATGTAAAGCGACTTAATTGTCATCGACACTCACATTAAGAGGCAAGCAACACAGCTGAGCCCATCGCAGATTGCGCAATGGAACCTGCGTAAAGAAGAGCTACACACGTATGTCTCCAACTCTGTCACACGCGCGCGCGCACACAGTCGTCCCTTTCTTTCGGGCCTTGAATCACAGTGTTTTCTTTGATGGAGATGCAGGATAGACTGGGGAGGGAGAGAGATGTTGAACAGAGTGAGAGAGATAGAGAGTGTGCGCGCGCGCTGTGGAATAGCACTTCTGGGCGGCTGCCTGCAGTCCATTGGTTTCCCGTCCATTGATGTCAGTTCTGTGTTTCAGTATTAAATTGTAACCGACATTGCTCATTTTCTTTTCTTTTCTTTTCTTTTCTTTTCTTTTCTTTTCTTTTCTTTTCTTTTCTTTTTTTCTTTTCTTTTCTTTTCGTCTTTTTTCTTCTTCCAATAGATAAAGTGTAAGTGTAGTTTGCTTTAATATGGTCCCATTCATTCATTTATTCGTTCGTTCATTCATTCATTCATTCATTCATTCATTCATTCATTCATTCATTCATTCATTCATTCATTCATTCATTCATTCATTCATTCATTCATTCATCCATATTTTATTGTTATTTTTTTTTTGTAATAATAGGTTGTATCTTCACCTGCGGTTCACCTAGATATTTAGGCCTGGTTTACAGATGAACTTAACCATCATACTGCACATTATCCAATCATATAGGCAAAAATTTATACAAACATGTTAATTTTTGATGGTGGGTTACTCTTTAAAAATCTTTTCTTCTGTTTTATGGTTTTCTTGTCACGTTCATGGAAACTAGACTAACATTGTGTCCCTTATGATGGTCCACATCTTTAATTTAAATTATATATTATTATTTTATTATAATATCATAAATATCATATTTATTTTCAATAAAATAAAAAATGCATTTCATATTGACATCTAAGATACTTTTCAGAAATGCTATAGAGTATTACATATCTATCTATCTATCTATCTATCTATCTATCTATCTATCTATCTATCTATCTATCTATCTATCTATCTATCTATCTATCTATCTATCTATCTAGCTATCTATCTATCTATCTATCTATCTATCTGTCTGTCTGTCTGTCTGTCTGTCTGTCTGTCTGTCTGTCTATCTGTCTATCTATCTATATCTATCTATTTATCCATCCATCCATCCATCCATCCATCCATCTTAGCAAAATCATTCTCTTTACTCATTTACTCAGCAAGTACATGGGAGGATGAGATGAGACGAGTCATGCTCATGTTGGGAAGGAGGGAGGGATGAGGCGGGATGGTGAGGGGGAGCGAGGGATGCTCGGGGGGGATCTCTGATAGATAAGGCAAGGATTGTGAGCAGCTCAGCTGGTCAGATCTGCTCTCTGAGCTCTGAGCTGGCATTAGCCAATCCACTCTGTGCTGCCGTGATGGATGGATGCTCTTAGAACGGACAAGGACCAGAGAGAGAGAGAGCCAGAGTGAGAGAGCATCACAAAAAACAGAGATGGTGGGAGGGTTATTAAAGAGAAGGAGGGCGCGACATCAATGGAAAGGGGTGAGAGAGAAATTAATGATGGAGGGAGAGAAAGAGTGAGAGATTGACGAGGAACAGAAGGAAAGTCTCTCATCTGTAAATGAGATCGTCCCTGATGGCCATTTTCTCCCCCAGTTTGCTCATTCTTCTTTCCTTCACAAAGCTCAATGCTCGGCTGGACGCAGGTCTCGATAGCGGGCTCCGCCAGTGCTGACAGTGAAAAACAGAGATGCTGGAGGGAGTCAGGCCTCGGGAGAGTGCTTCGTAAATTCCCCTCTCTCTCAGTCACTTCACGCCACTTGGCACTGAAACCTTAAAAACAAGGGAGGCCTGAGAGGGCATATTAGTCAACAGAAAAGTTTGAGGGAAATGGAGTTGAAATGCATCAGAGCTAGAAAATAGTATTGGGGCAAGTTTTTTTTTAAACATTATTTTCAAATAAGCTCAATAATGGCAGTACTATATATTACACCATAAACCCACTCTCATGTATTCATTCGGCTTAGTCTCTTATTTATCAGGGGTCACCACAGTGGAATGAACCAATACGGAATGAAATGAACTATTCCAGCATATGTTTTACACAGCCGATGTCCTTCAAGCCACTACCCAGTACTGAATAACACCCATACACTCTTACATTCGAACACAAACTCTCATACACTACGGCCAATTTTGTTTACTCAATTCTCCTATACCGCATGTCTTTGGACTTTGGGGGTAACTTGAGCATCCAGGAAACCCATGCAAGCACTGGGAGAACATGCAAACTCCTCATAGAAATGCTTTCTGGCAACATTCTGGGACTCAAATCAGCGACCTTCTTGCTGTGAGGTGCTAACCACTGAGCCACCATGTTACAATGTAGAAGGTAACAATTTGATTAAAACACATCTTTCACAATGCATCTTATCCTTCAGTTGTTTTATAAAAAATACTCACTGTACAAAAATGTTAATCTCAGTCTCATTCTGAAAACGTACAGCTATTTACATTTCTGCAGAGTGCCAAATACTTCCCAGGAGGTATGTTTTTTTGCAGTTTTTGTTTTCGCGATTCCACCAGAAGCCGCTGTGTATGCTTTTTAAGGTCTCATGTTTCTGTTGCGAGTGCCATTCGCATCTGCTTTTCTCACTTAAATCCAATGGAGGCTACTGTTGTCTGACTGACTAAATGACGACCAATCGACTGACCCACCCTCCTGCTTCCCTAAACCCAACCGATAGTGTTTTCTAAAGCACAGTTTGACCCGTCCACCCACATTGTAAAAATAAATTCATGAGAAAAGATAAAAAAAGGCAACTTGATGCAGTAAGAACTTTGAGTTGTCTCAACAACTGCTTTTGAGTTTTTCTCAGTATCAATTTTTTTTCAGCTAGCATAATTTTGGTTATTTATGCAATGTTGATTATTGTATTTTACTAATAAAGATATTCTTGTCACATCAACTGAAGCAGTTGAAAACAACTGCCATTGAAACTAGCCAACCCAATTCACCTGTACCGCATGTCTTTGGACTGTGGGGGAAACCGAAGCACCTGGAGAAAACCCAGAGGGAGATCATGCAAACTCCACACAGAAACGCCAACTGAGCTGAGGCTTGAACCAGTGACCCAGCGACCTTCTTGCTGTGAGGCCACAGCACTACCTACTGCGCCACTGCTTCGCCCTGTTTTTAATTATTTACTTAAAAATGAACACAAACTTACTACTTCATCCATTCATTCATTCAATCATTAATTTTC